CTGAGCGTGCGAGTCTGTCTGTGCGTGCGAGTCTGTGTGTGCGTGCGAGTCTGTGTCTGTGCGTGCGAGTCTGTGTCTGTGCGTGCGAGTCTGTGTCTGTGCGTGCGCGTCTGTGCGTGTGTGCGCAGTCTCGCACGCACACGTAATGTTGCACACACACGCGCGCGCGATCGCTCTGACACAACGCGCGCGTACGCCGTCTCCGCTAATTGAACGTTTCCTGGGAACGGGCTACGATTCTACGGTCGGGGATAGTGTAAGGATGTGCGGGGTGCGTGGGTGCGTGTGTGTGTGGGTGAGTGTGTGTGTGTGCGTGGGTGCGTGTGTGTGTGTGTGCGATGCTGGCCACCCACCCCACCGTGTGCCGTGTCGGCCTTCATATGTGCTAGCGAGCAGCACTTACGCTGAACGATCTTCATCTTTGTGTATGTATATGTGTGCGTGGTGCTGGCCACCCACCCCACCGTGTGCCGTGCCGGCCTTCATAGGTGCTCGCTAACAGCGCTTGCCCCTACAGTCTGTAAATACTATACGGGGGATCTTTGTCTTTATCTTTACGTACTATATATATGCGCGTGCGCGTGTATACGTGGGAATGAGATGAAACGCAAACACATAATCGGAAGCGCCTCGCACACCGAGTGTCATTCACCTTCTCTCTCGCGCGCGAGTGGAATTGGAACGCGTGGCTCTCTCTGCAGAGAGAAAGAGAGGGGAGGGAAGAGAGGGAGGCGAACACCGCAAGTGTCGAGGCTGTGAAAATGCACGCGGCCCACGAGCGCCATGCTACAAAGAGGGGGTGGGGTGGGGGGGGGGAGTGGATTGGACAGGGGACTGCACCCGTTTAAATTAATGACACCAGGGAACCTTGCCAAATATTTGGAGCCACTCGCTTGCATCACGGAGACCCACAGACGCACGCAAAGTAGCACAGACAATCACACAGACCCATAGACTGGCACAGAGCTCGAGAGAGAAACAAAGAGACCCGTGCACTGACACAATAGATCCACAGACTGATACAGAGACCCATAGACAAACACAGATACTCATGGACTGACACAGACCCACAGCCTCCCACAGAAACCCATAGACTGACACAGAGATGAGTAGACTGGCACAGAGACCCATAGACTGACACAGACATCCGAAGACTGACACAGAGACCCATAGCCTCACACAGAGGCATACACTCACAGGGGTTCAAACAGATCCGTGGAGTTGCGTAGCTATCGAGGGTGCAACTGCACCCACGGGGATCCACAACGGGCGGGGTTGGGGGGATGAGGGGGATGAGGGTGACGGGGGGGGCACAGGCCGTAGGGGCTCGGGTGCCAGGCTACAAAGAGGCGGAGGTGACCTTGGATGCTGGGAGAGTTGGGGGGGGGGTATGGGGGGGGTGAGTTGGGGGAGGCGGGGGGGGGGCATTCCTTGCAGCAGGAGCCATGCCAACCACGCTGCCCAACCGCACTGCTATGCCACTGATGTGGGTCGTGCGCTGTCGATCGGGTTTCGAGGCAAAACTCCGAAACGAAAAATGTGCATCACAGGAGAGAGAGACGGTGGAGAGAGGTGGAGATGGAGACAGGTGGAGATGGAGGAGGGGTGAGACGGAGGAGTGAGTGGGTGAGTGAATGAGTAGATGGGTGGGTGGGTGAGCGGGTGAGTCCATGAGTGAGTGAGTGAGTTGGTGGGTGAATGAGTGAGTGGGTGGTTGAATGAATGAGCACATGGGTGGGTGGGTAAATGGGTGAGTCAATGAGTGAGTGGGTGATAAAAATTGAGCGGGTGAGTGAATGAGTAAGTAGGTGGGTGAGTTTATGAGTCAGCGGATGAGTCAATGAGTGAGGGAGTGGGTGAGTAAATGACTGAATGGGTGAGTGAATGAG